TTGGCGTATAGTAAAATACTCAATTAACAGTAGATACTATGTGGAGCTACATTTGTTTGTATAGGAGATTGTTTTGGTTTATCGCAGTGCATGTGACTCTGAAGGTGAAAATCTGAGTACCTATTTCCAGAATATTTTAGTCTCTTTGCTGCTTTTTAACACAGATGTTCACAGATACATGATGGTGAGTCCTGAGGACAGGGAGACCTTGAGGAGACTGAAGAGCCTAGAGTCCTTTTAAGTTAAAAATCCAAAGAGTTGAGGCGCATTTAAGTTGGAGAAGAGAGTTGACTTCAGAGGTACAGGTGAGGGCAACATGCAAGATTCCTTCTAAGATGTGAAGGGCCATGTAAATCCCTTTTCTCCAAAGGGCAGAGGGATGGAGCTCTGACCCGCCATGCTGGTGGGTGAAGGATCGCCTCCCCTGGGAGGCAGAAGGTGCACCTGTGGAGACTGGGAAGCCTCCTCCTCCCTCTTGCAATCTTTTTCCCCTGGTGGCAGGAGGCCAAGCCAGCCATCTCCAAGGTGTTTTCCAAGCCAATTCCCTGTGCTTTATGGAAAAGAGCAGCAGCCTGCATGTGTGTATTTCCTCAACTGAAGCTCCAACTTTGATCTCCAGGCAGCACAACATTTGTTTTTAGAAAAAACCCATCCAGCTCAGAGGTGATGAGGGTGACAGGGCTGTAATTATCACCTGTTCCTCAGCACCTAGTGTACCGTGGGAAAGGTGCTGACAGCTCTGAACTCTCTTTGTGTGGGGAGTGAAGCCCCCAACCTCTGCTTAGAACATTTGACACAGACAGACAGCTGTGGGGCCGCGTGGGGGTGGGCATGGGGTGGGGGTGGAGGGGGCCTGTCACCTCCTCCATCACCTCCCCTTCTCCCTAGGCTGTGAGAGTGGGCTGAGAGGCCCTGCACGTGTCTCCATTCTTGGACACATTTTTATAATAATCAGGTATATTTTTCTTAGGAGTCTCTTCAGGGTGCCAGACCTTACAAAAAAGAAAAGGAAAGCACTGGGTATTAATTTGTGATTAACTGGACTTTATTGGAAACGATGGGGCAGGATGGAAGAGTGACCTCCAGAGGGCGCCAGAGTGATTCCATGCTAAGCCTTGGTTGAGGAAGTCCCCAGGAATACAGTGGAAAGAGGTCGGCTGGTGTCAGAAAGAGCCCGGCTACAAACCTGATTCTGGTTCTTCCTTGACAAGTGGCCTTGGACAGTGCACTTCCGCTATTAGAGTTTCAGCTTCCTGGTCTGTAAAATGAGGGCAGCAACACCTACTTTGAAGGGTCGCTGTGAAGACTCAATGAGATGAAGGATTCAGGATTAAATGAGAGAACAAAGAGCAAGATGGGAGGGGAGACAAAGAATGATTGCAAAAGATCTGCGTTACCACTGGCCCTTAAGTCCATTACCCGCACACTGGATTAATGCCGACTGGTCATAGATGTTCAACCAATTTCGTATGTCCATCGGGGTTCTTATAATAAAACCGAATTCAGTGAACAGCATTCCAGAATTCCCGATGGCTTTTGTCATGACATTGTTTTCTCTCTCTCTCTCTCTCTCTTTCTCTCTCTCTCTCTCTATATATATATTTTTAGTATACCTTAAGTTCTGGAGTACATGTGTAGATCATGCAGGTTTGTTACATAGGTATGCCTGTGCCATGGTGGTGGTTTGCTGCACCTATTGCCCCATCATCTACATTAGGTATTTCTCCTAGTGTTATCCCTCCCTAATCCCCAACCCCCCTGCCATTCCTCCCCTAGCCCTCCATCCCCCAAGCCCCAGTGTGTGGTGGTTCCTTCACTATGTCCCTGTGTTCTCACTGTTCAACACCCACTTATGAGTGAGAACATGCAGTGTTTGTTTTTCTGTTCTTGTGTCAGTTTGCTGGGAATGATGGTTTCCAGTTTCATCCATGTCCCTGCAAAGGACATGAACTCATCCTTTTTTATGGCTGCATAGTATTCCTTGGTGTATATGTGCCACATTTTCTTTATCCAGCATGACATTGTTTTTCAATCAACAGATGCTAAGCACGGTGGCTGCTCTTGTGCAGGGGTCTGCAGATGTCCTTGCCATGAAACAAGAATCCTCCGAAGCCCCCAGGAAGATTGGGAACTACTGAGACAATGCAGGTAAAGTGCTCTTCTCCCCACTTTCCTGAGCCCAGAGGAGAGGAGGGCCCTTCTGACCTGGGTGGGCTCTGATTTTTCTCCTCCGGAGCTGTCAGGACATTGCAAGGAATGTGCCATGGGCCACCGAAGGCCCCAACAAGCCTCACTGAGCTATTTGAGAGGTCTGGCCCTAGTTTTCTCCCTTCCTTTCTTACAGTGTCAGCTCCCAGTCAGGGACATTGCCCAGGGAGGACTTTCTCTTTCAAAGAATAACACGTGACCTGTGGCCTCCTTTTATGATTAGTGTTCTTCTCAATTGCCTCCTAGTATGAGGGGTGAGAGGCAGAGGCTCAGAAGTTTGTATCTGGAAACATATGTCTTTCTGGCACCAATTCTGAGAGGAACCTCACCAGAAGAAAACTCCCCTGCTTCCTCCTACTTCCACCAACTAGGAAATGAAGTGCCTGCTCCAGGTGTTCTTTGCAGTTCAGCTGTGCAGCCTCTAGGGCGGGGCTTTAGAGCTATTAGCACTGGGTTCCACCACCTGCTAGCCAGGGGTACCCACGCAGCCTGAGTCACAGGTACTGCTGCCTGTGCTTGCTTCCATGGCTGCCCTTGCCTCTCTCCTGACTTGTCCTATAACTAGTGTTGTATCCTCTTGCTCCTCAAAGATTGCTCCCTGGGCCTGCAGGATCCCATCCTCAGAGTGCTTGCTAGAAATGCAAAATCTCAGCACCCTTCCTTCTGCAGACTTTCTGAATTAGAATCTGCATTTTAACATGATCCCCAAGTAATGTGTATGAACAATAAAATCTGAGAAGCATGAGTCTAGCTCACCTGATGGGTTCCCATCACTGCCTAACTACTTTACGGTAAACATGACTTCTGGCTACACAGCACCAGGGGCTGAGAACATGTTACCAAGAAATGATCATGGGAATCTTTGCTAGATGTCAGAGAATGCCCACTAACATTATTGAAGCCAGGCACTTTCTAGGCATGATCAGAGTTCACCCTTATCCCCTCTTTCTAAGGCAGGTGGAGCAAACTGGAGGAGCAAACTAAGATCAAAGAGATACGAAATGAGTTCAACATTCCAGAGCTAGTAAGAAGGCTGTGTGAGGGACAGGGAAAAAGAGAGAGGGACATTGGGCACAGGAACAGCACGTGTAAAGGCACAGAGGTGTGAGGCAGCACCATCAGCATCATAATAAGAAACTCTATATGCAGGACACGGGGCTTGACATTTGTTTATTTCATGTATTAACTCCACAGCTACTTACCAAGTACTCAGTATGTGCGATGCCCTGTGTGGGGTAATACAGTTGCAATGTAGAACCAGGCAGGCATATTCTCTGTTCTCAAGGAGCTGCCTTTCTACTGGAAAATAAAGATTTTATATTCACAAAGTGATTTAATTATAACTGAAGCAAGAGCCACAAAGTATAAAATAGAAACCTAGCTTAGTCTTGACCAAGAGGATACTGTGTATAAATCAACAGAAAGGCATCCTTGTTTTAGGGCTCCTCAACTATCAGGGTTCGCCTCGATGGCTCCCAGGAGCACTGTCTACTTTCTTGATTGGTGGTTCATCTCCTGTTGCTCCTAAGCAGCAATCATGGGTCTGTGCACAATGCCAGGCACAGAGGGATGCTGGACAAAGGAAAAAAGAGTGTGGATTCCACCCTGCAGCAGAAGAGGACCAGAGCACAGGGATCTCCTTGGGTCTAACACCACCTAAATTTCTGCATGGATGTGGGTGCAGGTTGATGTGGAATGCTATTTTGTTTTGTTCCAAGATCAAAAGCCCTGAGAGGCTGGAGCTTCATGCAGTTTTGCTGCCAGGTATGCTTGTAAGGTGGTCAGAGGAAGGCAACATGAGAGCCCAGTCTGGCCTTTCTTTCTTCTCCCTGGCAAAGGCAACATCAGAGCCTAGCTTTCCTTTCTTCTCCCTGACAAAGGCCACACATTTGTATACAGCTGTGGCTCTTCTTGGGTGTTTCTATTTTACGGTTGTGCTTTGATTTGGGGGCTTAATTCTCTAACTTGGGTCTTCCCTTTGGTGACAGCCCTGGTCCCAGCAAATGGCCTTGGTATATTGGGCAGCTGCAGGGACCAGCCAGGCTTGCCAGCGAAGCTGTATTGTAGCGCCAGGAATCAGGCACATGGGAGTTTCCATATTGGCCTGTTTCTGTTGTCTATTTCTGCATAACAAATCATCCCCAAAATGATCATAACAAGTAGTGCCTTAAGTGAACAATGGCAATTCAGTGGGTTGGATGGGCTCAGCTAGGTGGTTCTGCATTCTATAAGGTATAGGTGAGGTCATTCATGAGAATGAATTCACCTGGGAGCTCCATAGAGGCTGGAATGTGGAATGTCTAGGATGAGCTCTCTTCCTTCAGGCCCCTCTCCCTGTGACCTCTCATAGAGTGCTAATTTCCGCCTGACTTCTTTACAACTTGACAGCTGGCTTCCAGGAGGGAGATTTTCAAGAGGATGAGCGCCAGTGTTGAAGCACTTACTCACCCAGCCTTTGCTTGTGGTATGCTTGCCAGTGTCTCACTGGCCAGAGAAAGTCACGTTGCTGAGCTGAGTCACTGTGGGAGGGGACTACACAAGGTGTAACTACCAGTAAATGTATACATTGGGCACTACCAATGTAGCAGTGTTCCATGTGGTCCTTGGATGTGCACCTGCCATTAGCTGCTTAGGAAAGTAGTACAGGGCTTGATGGAGCTGGTCTGGAAGGTGAAAGAGCAGTACTGGGAGGGTCACATGTCTTTAACATATTTTATTCAATTGGTTGTTCAACAAGTACTAAGTAGTTCAAACTAGTACTAGGCCCTATGCCAGACCCTGGGTGTACCAAGATGACCAAGACGCCACCCTTGCTCTCCAGGAGCTCACAGATAATTGGCCACAGACAGACAAATCAGCAATACCATAGCATGTGTGATCTGTTTTGGAACTGAGTTTCACTTTAGCTGCTGTAGAGTAAAAAAGAACAATTTCAATAAGACTGAGGGTCAGGGAAGGCTTCCCTAGGGAAAGATACTTGAGCTAAGTCCTGGAGCAACATAAGAAACTGTCCAGGTGGACTGGCACTGGGCATTCCAAGCACAGGAGAGAGTATGGGTGAAGTCCAGGGAAGAGAAATGCCTTGAAGCAACCACAAAATTGGATGTCATTCTTCATTCTACACATTCAGAAGGCAGGGATTGTGTGAGAGATGGGCCAGGAAAGCATAGGGTATGAAGGTTCTTGTCCTTTATCATGTCCTATTCTCTTTCATACCAAGGGAGAGCATTAGAATGACATCTTCTTTTTGCGTAATTGCATTTAAATGGTTTCCTACAATAAACATGTTTACGTGTATAATATATAATACAAATGGGAAAACATTATTCTGGCCACCACCCATTGAGTGAGTAGGCTGTTGCCAAATTTTAGTTATGATTTGATGGTATCCTGAACTGAGTTAGAGGCAATTGGAAGGGAGAGAAAGAGAGATATGTGAGAGGCACTTAAGAGGTATGAATGTGAGATTTGCCACCAAGTGACTCTGAGGGCTGAGGAGGAGGAGATAAGGACAGCGCCACCTTGTTCTGCCCTCCCTTCCGTGCACCTGCCTCCAGGGGGCACAGGAAGTCCAAAGCCAACCAAAGGAAGCATTTGGCATGCTTGGGGCTTTATGGGATGTGCCTCTGAAGGGAGTGAGCTCTAAGAGTGGACAAGACCAATCTATATTAATATACTGTCCACCTTGTAGACACCCTGCAAATAGATGTGGTTCACAGCAGTACATGTGAGTGGGAACTGCTGGGGCTCTTGCATAGGACCGCAAGGATTCAGTCCTGACTGAGGTGCCCTCTAGCTCTGTGATCTTAGATGAGTTACCTCAACTCTATGTGCCTCAATTTCTTCATCTGTGGAAAGAAGGATAATTCATTGGCTTTTTGGGTCAGGATTACATGGGATGATGGAGAAGGGTGCTTGAACATAGAAAGCTTTAATCAATAGAAACTATAATACTTATTCAAATAAGCCTTTTTTTTCTGCTTAGGGAATAAGTAAGGCTTTCAAATTGTTCCAAGTTTAGAAAGTACAAAATTATGTGTACAGGGAAATGTTTCCTTCTAGCACTGTCCTCTGGAAAGCTAGGTTTTCTCCCTGGCAGTGACAAATAGTACTAGCTTCTTGGACCTTCTTCTCAAGATGGTTTACATATACTTAAGAAAAGGCATATACCATCACACTTTTTGTTACAGAAGTGGTAATGCCTTTCATAGCACTACATTACACTTTTCGGCTATAATTTTAATGAAACAGTTTCTTTAAGTGGTTTCTTACTGTCCAGCTTGTTGTTATTACAAACAGTGGTACAATGAAAAACAGAGGATATCATGTTACTCATGCTGGGGTATACATAAGGCCAAATTCCTGGAAGGAGAATTTCTAGATCAAAAGAACACATGCATTTTAAATTTTGTTCCTTATTGTTAAGTTCCATAGAGGCTATGCCAATTTACATTTGCACCAGCAATGGTGAGTGTGTAGGGAAACACATGATCACACATCATTGGAGAACTTGGTATAAGCTTTATGGAGAGTAAGTTAGTAATATCTAACAAAATGTGTCATCAAATGTTTTGATATTTGCAAATCTAACAGGTGACAAATGGTATTTCAGTATAGTTTTATTTTGCAATTCTCTTACTGTAAGCGGAATTCAGCAGTTTTCTCTAAGTTTAAAACCCAGTTACTTTCTCCTTCAATAAATGGTTCCATGTAATTTTGTTCATTTTTTTCTATTGTGCTGTTAGGTTTTACTTTTCTTACTGATTTATGAAGTCTTTCTGTATTAAAGAAATTGTGACATGATTTGCCAATATTTTTCAGTTTTCAATTTGTCTTTTTATTTTACTCATGAAAGTTTGTGCCATGTAGATCTTTAAAAACATTCATGTTAGTGAGATTTTCAGAAAGTTTTCCTTCTATGGCTTTTGAGGTACTTAGGCCATTCATACTTTGAGATGAGAAGAAAAAATGTTTTCTTCTGGCATTATGGTATCAGCTTTGTACTTAAAACTGTTATTCATTTGGCATTTCTTCTTACATAGGTGTTATATGAACAAAACATAATTTCTTTTTCGAATTTCCATCCTATTTTTCCAACATCATTTTTTAAACAACTCATTTATCCTTTCTGACTTGAGGTGCTTCCTTTCTAATGTGCTAATTTCTTGAGTGATTTTGGTTTATTTCTGGCCTTTACTGTGTCCCATTGATCAGTCAGTCTATTCATAGACCATAGCGCAATGCTTTCATTTTTGTATCTTTATTGTATGATTATGTAGAAAGGCTAGTATCACCTCATTACTCCTCTTTTCCATAACATTCTGGCTTTTATGTTTGTTCATTTTTCCATATAAACTTCAAAACAGCTGGGTAGCACTTACCTTACATTAAATTCATTGATTGAAAAAAATTTGCATCTTTTGAATGTTGAGAGTTGCCAAGTCTATGTATGGTATGGTTTTTCTTTTTTTTGTATCTTTTATGTTTTCAGAGTTTTCTTCATATTAATCTCACACATTTATCACTGATTTTTATTGCTAGGTATTTCATCTTTATATGTATTTCTTCCCCACATTTGGGCTGCCTGCCATTATAACTAGGTTCTTTTTTCCTATTATGCCTTCAAATGGGCTGTTGTTTGCTTACATGAAGGCTTTTAAGTTCTGTATACTAATTTCATATCAAGCCAATTTAGTTAATTATCTTGCTGCTCGTAGCAGGTTTTTGGTGGTGGTGTTGTCCTTGTTGATTTTTTTTTGTTGTTGTTTCCCATATGAAAATTGTGATAGTTTTACCTTTTCATTCCCAATGTTTATAATTTTTATGTCTAATTGCATTAATTAGTATTTCTAAAATAGTGTTAAATAATAATGGAGATAGCAGATATCTTCCATATTCTTGCCATTAATGGAAATGTTTCTGATGTTTCCTCATTAATCTTTGGGGTTTGCAGAGGCAGGTTTTATTATGTTGAGGGAGTATTTGTAAATTCTTACTTAACTATGAGACTTTGATGAATGAATGTGGCAAAAGACATATGCTGAGTGATTACATGAATATGAAGTACACAAACAGGACCAAAAAAAACCCCAATCTGTATTGGTAAGACTCTTGAGAGTCTTCCAGAGAGGTAGAAATATTCTTTATGATATCTAGAAATATCTAGATGATGATTATATATATGCACACACATATGTAAGTATATGCATATATAAATGTGAAAAATCATTGAGTTGTACACTTAAGATTTGTACTCTTTACTGCATATATGGTGCGTGTAAGTATAAAGAAAAAAAGACTTTAGTCATAGCTATCTGAGAGGCTGAGGTGGGAGCATCCCTTGAGCCCAGGAGTTCAAGACTGCAGTGACCTATGATCACACCATTGCACTCCCGCAATGGAGTGGCAGCGTGAGACTTTGTCTGAAAAAAAAAAAAAAAAAAAAAAAAAAGAAAAAAAAAGAAAAAAGAAAAAACTGATTGTTGAATTCTGTCATCCGTCATTTGGCATCAGTGGAGATAACCATGAATCATGTCATTTTCTGCTTATATCTGTTAATAGGGTCTATGTATTAATGGCTTTCCTAATGTGGAATCTTCCTTGGATTACTGGAAAAAATCCTACTTGGCTGGTCTGTCATTTTGTTTAGGATTTTTGTAATATTGTGGGCTGAATGTTTGTGTCCCCTAAAAATTCATATGTTAAAACCCTGTTCCCCAGTGTAATGGTATTTGAAGATAGAGCCTTTGAGAGAGAATCTGGGTTAGATTAGGTCATGAGGGTGGGTCTTCAAAATGAGATTAATGCCCTTATTAAAAGAGCACGTAAAATCTAGCTTCCTGGACCATATATGGATATGAGAAGGAATTAGCCATTCACCAGCCCTCTAATCTGCCAGCACCTTGATCTTGGATGTCCCAGCCTTCAGAATTGGGAGGAATAAATGTTTGTTGTTCCAGCCACTCAGTCCATGGCATTTTCGTTATAGCAGCTTGAACTGATCAAGACAGATATTTATAAGGTTGTTGTTCTACAGCTGGGTTTTGAAATCAGTGTTAGGCTTGTTTCATTCAAACGGATATAGTAGAATGCCTTCTTTTACTGTGCTCCAGAAATAAAGATTTTTAAGAAATTGCTATAAGTTCTTTTTCTTCTCTTAAAAATAGGCTTAGAAAATTACATTTGTAATAATTTCTGGCCTGGTAGTTTCATGAGAGGAAATTAGCCAACATTTTATGTTTATTCTTTTGTCATTGATCTGTTTAGATTTTCTCTTTTGCAGGGCCAGTTTAGTAAATTGCATGACTTATACAATTATTCATTCCTTTCAAATCTTCGAATGTATTTACATAGAGTTGAATAAACTAATGTTTTAATTTCCACTATACCTGTGGCTTCTCCCTGCTCCATACATTTTATTTTGTGGATTTTCGCTTTCTCTCTCTTTTATTAATTAGATAATTTTTTATGTTTCTCAGAGTCAGCTCTTGGATTTATTCTAATATTTTTCTTTTAAAATCAGTGTGTTAATTTCTGCTCTAAGCTATTAAATACCTCTGCTTTTCTAAGGGTTCTTCTATTTTTATAACATCTAGAATTGGATCCTTATCTCATTTATTTTATATACTCTTGATTATTATTGGTATTTAGTAAAACAAATTTTCCTCTTGATATTAGTTTAGTTGATTTATACATATTGTCTTAATTAGCATGCTCTAGCTAGTCTGCCATCTTTATTTGCATTCTGGACCTAAGAGAGTTGTTTTAAAAGACGTTAAATTTTTTTCTGCACATAGTGATGGGGAT